CAAAGGATCAATACACTCACGGCCTGCAAAGGGATCCCGAATGTGTTCGGTCAGCGAGGCTCGAGCTCGACAGAGGATCAACACACTCACATCCTGTCAAGTGATAAACAACACGTTCGGTCAGCGAGACCCAAACTCGACAGAGGACCAACATACTCACCGACTCAAGGGATCAGCGATGCGTCCGGTCAGCGAGGCTCGAGTTCGACAGAGGATCAACACACTCACCAACTGTCAAGGGATTAGCGATGCATTCGGTCAGCAATGCTCGAACTCGACAGAGGATCAACACATTCACCAACTGTCAAGGGATCAGCGACGTGTTCGGTGAGCGAGGCTCGAATTCGACAGAGGATCAACACACTCACCATCTGTCAAGGGATCAGCAACGCGTCTGTCCAGCGAGGCTCGAGCTTGACAGAGCATCAACACACTCACAAACTGTCAATGGGTCACCAATGTCTTAGGTCAGCATGCTGGCAGAGATGTGATCAGACGTACTATCTGCAAGTAATCGTCAAATATAAATGAGGAGTTTTCAACAATTCCTACGATCTCACTGAAGTTTGTGGAAACCATCTACCCAAATCATATACAATCTGGCGATCGGATTTCCCAAGTATCGATGAGACTGTCTCCGGGGAGTCAAGATGCTGTGCAAGTGACCTCAATACACAGTGAGTTATCTCTCGCCACAGATAAGTGAGGTTTGACGAGTTACCTTTCGACTGCATATCTCATGCACACCTCCAAGTTGGTCTGCTGAGTTGAGACAAACAGCTGTTTGAGCATATCATCATCCAGAGCTTCAGCCGTGCATTCGATAAGTGGCCCGCAGTCTGCACCGTTGTTGTCCATATCTAAATGTCCATGAGCGAAGATAAGTAGCAAACTGATTAGCAACTCGAGAATTGGTCAACTTACCAGGCAGGCATATGTGACATTTTGGAGGACGTTGGTTCCCCATGCGGTTGTATAAAAGCTTTAGTTGTGCCCCATTGGCAAATGCTTCTTTGACATGCTGCAGGGCCAGCGCTTTAGCGTCTTTTCTCAATACTCCCTTACTTATCAGCTCTGCAAATTCCGAGTCATCGTCATAGAGTGTGTCAAATTTAGTGAACAACACTATTACTGGAACTGAGCATTGTAAATCAGTCTATGATAAACCATAACAGATCCAAAAACTTACTGCTTCCAGTGTCACACTGAGATAAAAACTCGACTTCCTCTTCAGTGAAAGACCTGCGATCTCCATCCATCGGAATGCAGTACCTGCACCAGGAATGTGAGATAGCGCACGCCAAAAAATTGACCAGCTACCATATGACATGGATTCGATCTCTTAAACGTGTCTCCTTAGAACGGCTTGCGATAAAACCCTTCACGTTGTTGAATTCGGAGTTTCCTCCGTGTGAATAGTGAAAGACGAATCCCAGGTTGTTTCGAAATATTATTTCATTCTTGATAATGTGCCCTCCCCACTGAGAACTCGTCAAGTGATATTACCAACCATCAAGAACACTCCCTACCTCTCTGTATGTCATCAACACAGCGGGATGGATCTGATTTCCAATGTCCGTCGGTTAATAATTATCATCCTAGTCACTAGTACTGGTATCATGGAATGCACCTTTTCCCCGTCGCTGTTGTATGTTTCTGGGATCTCCCGTGTCTTGCAAACTCTCTGGAGGATGGTGGTTTTTCCTGCATTCGCTTGTCCTATGATGAGGACTCGGAAACGCATGAATCCCTGTCTCAACCTTGAACGATCCATGATAGAGGAAAGTAGGAGGGTGTGAACTCTTTGAGCGCCCGAGCCACAATCATAATGTATGTAAGTGATAGTAAGGAACATCCTCTTTCCGGGATTGCCCTGGCCATATCATTCTAGCTTCCTACAACTGTCTTCCACTAACTTGATTGCAGTACTCATGATCACCCGTGCAAGTATACGACTTGGCTGAAATGATCGGTTTGAGTCTTTGAAAGCTTACAACAGACCCGGTATCGGCAAGCGAAGAATGAAAGGATGTCATGCACGAAGGAAAGCGGACGGGGGTAGGAAATATGATGGGTGAGAACTTATAAGGATGGGATGTTAATGTAGACTTGTGTCGGAGCATATTCCAATATTTTGGCAGTGGTACGAGAACAAGAGGGTAGATATTTCACATACATTATTTTGTTGCTGTTGCCGACAAACTACAAGTATACATTTCCCTCCCCTCCTCTCCTCTCCTGATTCCATCCCAGAATCGATGAAGAGATAGTTGTAAGGCTCGTTCCGCTCCGATCGACCTATCGCAATGATGAACAATCGACCAAAGAAACAGGGACAAAAGCGGAGATTCACAAACATGTCCATCATAAGCTTCACTGTGTCTAAATAAAATGTTATACCATGCATCGGTATCTACCATCTTTCTAAAACCCAAAAACTCACAAGTCCAATGCCCATTGAACGACACTTTCTCTAATCAATGCTACAATCTCGGTCAGCAAAGAACCTCAGGATCTAAAAGACGCACAAAGCTCAATGGCAGAGACTGCGCCCGCAGTAGGCACGCCCCACCAAAGACGCTACCATGCTCAGCGTTCGTTATTCTTAGATGCAGATTTGATTTTGGGCGAGGGTGCCACTGAAGCCGTGGATGTTGACGAGTTCGTGAGAGGTTAGGGACCAGATTTGATTTACAAAAGAATCTGGGTACGGTTGGTCTGCAGTTTGGACAGCATTTCTAGATTGCGACGAAATGCGAGACAACAGTCTGACTTTTAAGGTTTGAATCAAAACAAATGTCGCGGAAAGTCACCCATTCGTGATAAACAAATCAAACGATAGAAATGACAGAAAGAACGCAGAAAAGAATGCTCATTGTGGCTTCTTGGACTTCTTGATTTGTGTGCCTCGCGTGCAGACAAAAAGTTCTTCCGAGCCCCGCTGATTCACGGGGTCACAGCTCATGCGAAGGTTGTAGCAAGCAACGAGAGGTGGCGTGAGGGCAGAGAAAGAGCCAGCGGGCTTAATAATAATGAGATAACGAGCAATGAGAGAGATGGCGATGACAGCGATCAGCAGATGATTGTGAGCTCTCCCAGCTCGCCCCCCCCCCCCCCCTCCGACACGTCACGTGACTTCCCGCCGGCATCCAAAAAAGGAATGTGACCCCAACAGAGACGAGTGACTTGTGCCATACATAGTTGTACTCTACTACAAGCACATACCATGGACTCAGATTTATTACCTGAACTACAGATATGCTCGAAGTCAAAGTGCAAAAATGTTCTCCCTCATGATAGTACCTGGAAAACATGTGAGAGGTGCCGAGAGTATGACAAAATCAATGCAGCTGCTCGGAGGAAGAGAAAAAGAGAGGCCCAACCTGAAGAGCCGAGGCCTGCCCCACCCCCTCCACTGGCACCTATGGCACCAACTGTGGTAGCTAGAACAGCTGGAAACAATGCAGAACATCCAATAGCTGTGGAAAGTGACTCTTCAGAGGTGATTCCACTACCTTGAATTTATTGATGAATACTAACATATATTATGTGACAGGGAATCCATAGTCGAAGCTACAAAGATAGTCAAAGTCTCTTCATGGAGCTCCGAAGAGCTTTTAAGACTTCGAAGGTCATTTCCTTCTATGGACACTATACCGTGCTTGTAGATCCACTCATGAATGAACGAGAATGAGTCAAAATGACTGCTTTTGAAATCTGGAAGATTACTGGATACAGATTTAAGTGAGTTTGACCATTTAGAATAGTGTTAAGTTGACTCACAAAGGTTGACAGAGTGAAGGATCACTTCATGTTGAAAACGGGTCATAAGACTCGATTCTGGTGCTGTCAAGACGTCTCACGGAAGCAGAAGGCCCATCCAAGTCAAAAAGAAGGTGTCAAACACCGTGATACAGTGGGGATAAAATGTTTTGACTGTCACAGCACTCTTGTTGTGTCGTGTTGCCAACGCACCCCTGACAATATTGATCAGCGGACCTTGTCCATCCATATTGAGCATCATGACTCACACACGCCATACTTTGATGTCACAATGCCAGCGGAGGCAACAGAAATCATCCGCGATAACCTCGAGTGGAGTATACCAAGCACATTGGTACCACGGATTCAGGGGCTCTTCCCAAACATCACATCCAAACAAGTTCATTCTGCTTGGTCTTGCATGAGCCAAATCCTGTGGAAGAAGGACAAAAATCAACTCGCATCTGCAAAATTATTGCTTGATGAGCTCGCAGGGGATGTAGATATATTTGATATTGAAGAGGTTGATGGTGTTGAGCAAGTCTGCTGGGGGATGAAGAAGATTGCGAAGTCCCTTCATAAAAACATCGTCGAAATTGCCCTTGATGCAACCTGTGAGTAATTGAATTTATCGAGAGCAATGACTCACGCAGAAAGTAGATAACACGAACTCAAAGCACCTTGAACTATATAGTGTCCTTGGCGAGTTTGATAATGCTGGGTTCCCACTGTCGTACTGCCTGTTATCCACTGCAACGTCGATTGAGATTGGAAAACGCACCACTGCACTGCGGAAGTGGGCACAGTGTCTTCGAGACAAGTATGGTGTTGTCCCTGCCTTCATTCATGTTGACAAGGACATGGCAGAGATCAGCATGTTGAAAAGTGTTTGGCCTGAAGCAAAGATTCAATTATGCTACTGGCATCTTCGTAAAGCTGTACAAGAGCGCTTATCAAAATCCAAACTTACCACAATGCCTTATAAAGCAGCGTGGGCACACAAGGAATTCTCGTTCATAGACGTCACCTTCAGGCCATCAGGGACATCTGATCCAAACGAGCATGAGGGAGGCATGCTTATTCAACCAGATGAAACACAGGATGACACACCTGTTCCAACACTGGCATTCCGTATCCCAAATCCGTCTCAATTTCCAAGTCAGCCACTCCCGGACTCATATCACAACATCAATGATCGCAAGGACATACCCATAGGCTTGAAAATTATCATCAAAATACCTAAACAGGAACCTCAATCGGGAGATATTGAACGAACACGACACACCTTTTGTTCATCAGAATTTCGTGAACACGTCATCGAAATGATGGAACGGCACTTCTGCGCACATCCACTTATCCCCGGATACTCACACCCAAGCGCTGCAGGAATAAGGCAGTGGGCAGTGCGCCAGATGTACACATTTTGCCGGGAGCATGACCTCTGTGAACTGTGGGCCTACCTTTGGGAGAACTGGTACCGAAAGGGCCGTTTTGAGCTATGGGCACGTTCAGCAGGTGACAAGATACCTCGACTAAAAACGACAATGATCATGGAGAGCCAGTAAGTGCAACAATCTCGTCAAACTTAAGCCAGAAAGCTCACCGCTTCATTGGCAGCTGGTGGCACATCAAAATCGACTACCTCACGCACTTCTCGAAGCCACGAGTTGATCTACTGATCTGGATCCTTGTTGTCAAACTCGCACCAACATACTATAAAAAGATTGACCACCTACTCAATGATTTTGGCCGATTTCGGGAGTTGTCGTCGTGGCGAAAAGAATTCAAAAGAGACTGGCTGCACGCAGCCAATACCCCAATCACGGTACCACTCAACCCCAAATATCGTCCAGATCCCCATCATTGGGTCTGCACCTGCCCAAATTTTGTTAAAACTCGGTTTCTCGTTTGTAAGCATCTGGTACAAAGTGTCCACCCTGTAGCGCCTACCTTTTTCCTTGAGGTGCAACGGAACTGCATGATACCGTTTTGGACACATCCGTTGCTCATTCCCCTCAATTCCTGTCTGCCGCCGCTCGCCACTGCTGCAATGCCTGTTCCTGTGCCACTGGAACCAGCGAATGAGGGGGAAATGGAATCAGGCGACGAAGTTGGTGATGGTGCGGAAGATGACCTTGTGGATACGTTCTGTCAACAGCTTGACACCAGGACATTCCAGGAACGCATGCTCACACATGTCAAGAACATTCGTGATTTCTGTGATGGCCTTGAGTATCAAATTCAATTTAATGACTATAGAATGCTTACCGTTCTCGAACACAATGGCTCATCATTTCTCCGTCTGGCAGATAATTGTCTCAGTCGTGAATGACGAGAAAACTCGTCTCGATCACGGAGCCCAACAACCTGGGAAAAAGGGACCACTAGCGCAATGTTTTATCGTGCTCGTTCATCATCCCAGTGACCACATCCATAATCACTCTAATAACAACTTAATCCCTCTAGCTAGTACAGTACATATCTCTTTATTCATTGCTATTGTCACATACTATATACTTAATACATAATAGCATTCAAGAATCAACTCAGAGAGACTTGAGAGAACGAAAAAATAAACCGTCATAGCCTTTTTTGGATGCCGGCGGGAGGTCACGTGACGTGTCGGAGGGGGGATGAGCTAGGTGAGCTATGATTGTGCACTTGCCGGAAACTGCCGAAAGACGCTTCGCGTCGACACGGAGTCTGCATCAAGTCTGTACAAAGTTCAACGTTCAAACTGCTCGATTCCCGCGGACTTTCTCAACTGGCATGTTCTTAAGTTGCTTTTCCATCTTTGGCAGCTCTCATATCAACAAATCATCGCCATCATGCTTTCAGCACTTGGGCTGGGTAGGATGTGTTACTTTCTCCATGGATGGCGAACATATCTTCAGTGGAGGTTTCGATAAGATGATATCAAAGTGGGCAGTACCGAGCCACTTTAAAGAAGCTCTTAAGAAACCGGCATCAAAAATACTTTCCTGTTTGATTTCCAATCTATTCACCATCTTAGTTCTCATGTCGTATCTTTCTCATGACAAGGCTGAATTATTCATTCAAAGGTATGTTTGGATCCATCACCTACTGTGATAATGCAATTCGAGCATGCTTCACCTGACAGATTCTCCCCATTAACACGACCGCTGGTAATACATACATCACCGGTGACTTGTCTACTGCTTGAAGAGGTATTCACCCAAGAGATTGACGCCAATGCTAACCACTCGTTGTGGCACGAAAATACGACTGGCACCTTATCCTTGAAGATGCAATTAAGGTAAGATTTACTCATTATCGCTCCCAATGAAAAGCTGACTTTCACAGTCTGTCACCATCCAGCCCTCTATGTTAGGTGATATCTCCAAGGGCATCGCTCTATGTGGAAAAGGGCACATCCGCAATGCTAGGGCAGCATTTGACCTCGCATTCTTGTTCACGGACTAAAACTATTCATTTTCTTCTCTTCGTGCCGTGGAAGTAAGTAACTTAACCAAACCCATGTTTAGTGCATAGGCATTGATCTTTCTGAACTGCGCACATCATGTAATCTATGCGTTCGACTTGTAATTGACGCTTTAAATGGTGGATACCATAGTACGTTCTAAGAGACATGAACCTACTGTATCCATGACGAGAATTAATCTCTATTACACCAGCGACCATGAACCCAAGCCTAGCTGGAGACACGTCAGGAGGAGTGAAGAACGACATGGGCTGATCATACCTGTGAAATCAAGTTCCCGATTCACCTCCATGCATCACTGGTCAACGACCGAACTACTCACCAAGGTCACAGCTGTGGAGCGGAACGTACCTCCAAGCAGATGACCAAGCATGACGTTCTGTATGTCTGGTGACCTGTGAAAGTCTTGCAAATCTTTGTCACATTGATGAAAACCCGGTTATCATCATTTCCATGAGTGTGAGTCCCAATGGTGTGCGGGTGGCGAGCGCTGATCGCCTCTACATTCGTTGAGTGAAGATAGCGCCGGTATTGAAAGATAACACACACATACAAGACATTATTCACGCTACCGTGATGTGGTTGGAGGCCATCAGGGTCATGAGAGGATGCTTTGTAGGAGGTCGCTAGATGGGTAGGGGGTTTCGGATGTGCTGCGAGAGGTCACAGGAAGGTGAGGGAGCAGGTCGTTACATTGCTGCGCATGGTATTAATGAAGAAGAATGAAAAAAAAAATACACACAAACTTGCCTGACAGTACAGGAGGCTCGGATGCAGCAAGAGGGGGTAAGAAGGTACCGATGAGTCGGTGCCTACAAGGCAAGAGGCATCGGACGCAGACCAAACAGAATGCAAGATATGATGCTGGGGATAGGACGGGTGAGGGAAGAACTATTGAAACAAAAACAAACGGAAAACAACGAGACCGGTAAACAAACGAGACGGTGATACATGCCGAAGATGGGTGCATTCCTGCCTGAGGCACAAGTGCATGAGATTCAGTGTTTCGAGTTGATCCGGCGTGGAGCAGTTCTTTGTGTTCCATGTCCTGCACAACGAGAATAGTATCTTCGTAGTTGTCTGCACTTCACTTACTGTAGTCAGTAGCTTGCTCACAAACATCATTTGTCATCCCTCCCGCCATCTCTCCCTGCTCACTATTTTGGTCGGTTTCTTCTCTTCTGTGTGCCTCTAATCCTTCTCTTCTCTTCTGCATGCCTCTCCAGCTTCCATCAGTCGTGCCCTTGGGGTTAGAGTTCTCCCCTTCATCACGCACTTGGTCACAGGCCAATCCTCGATGGATCTGTCCTTATCCCTGCCCAAACCCTGGGAAGGCCTCTCTGATGTTTCCCTTCCTGTCCTTCTCCTCTTTATTTGTTCCCTTACCACACCAAAGCCTGAAAAAGGTGATTGAATATACGTGAGAACGAGGATGAACGAACCAAGCGAAAATCTCTCCTCCCAACCTCACAAACTCTTCCGCGTTTGAAGATGGTGGCTTCAACAGGGGATGCAGCCTGTATGCGGCAGACGAGGGTGTGAGAATGCGAGCTGGGGGATGCATATGGATGGCGTATGAATGCTATAGTGGTTGTGTGAGTGCAGGTGAGGTATTAGGGCGAATATCGAGGTGTTGGGTGCACACGCTGATGCATGGGCAACGTGGTATGTTGAACGGTGCCGCTTCAAAGCCTCAAGTGCGGATGATGTGGAGTGCGCTGGGTGCGATGGGGATGTATCGTCGCGTGAAGAACGTGGAGTGAGTGCTGATGTAGCCTGGGGCACAGTTGAACACGCGATGGTGAACCTGTGGTAATGGTGCAGGTGAACGCATGGGCAAGGTGTTTGTGCGAAGCGTGCACGTTTGCTCACCAGCATAAGGCAGACATGGCGGTAGCTAAAAGAAGGTGTTCGCGCGAAAAAAAAAAAAGCTGCCGGCGTCGACAGATCACACGAGAGTTGAAGGATAGACAGGGCGTGTCGCCCGTGCTGAGAGGGGAGGGAGGTGTAAAACGAATGGGAGCGGCGGGAAGTCGAGAGTACTGTAGAGCTGAGTGCAAACGTTGCAAAAATTAAACGTGCTGTGAGGATATCGGTGCTGCTGTCAGAGCAACTACTGAACAACTGTTAAGACCGTACTCAAGTAGTATCGGATCCGAAGGGCTTCGGCCTCAGCTCGTGCGCTGTGCCCCTTTCCCGAGTCTTGCCCCTTATTTCAGAGAGCTAAAGTATCGCGTCTAGTGAGACGGATAAGTATCGTAACGGATAAGTCTTGTATTGCAACGGATAAGTATTGCAATGGATCCGTTAAGACTTCCGGATATCGAACGTATAGAGTAACGGCTAATCCGGATCGGATCCGGACTAGAAACTAATGGGTGAGGACTGTCCAAAGACAGAGGCGGATATGTAGACTATAGGAATCTATCCTAAGTCTCGGAGTAGACAAGAGTAGCGTACTCAAGTCCGGATGGATAACGGAGGGACTTAGAGTCCAGATGGAATGAGTGCAATCTAAGATGATATTCGAACTTGTTAAGACCGTACTCAAGTAGTATCGGATCCGAAGGGCTTCGGCCTCAGCTCGTGCGCTGTGCCCCTTTCCCGAGTCTTGCCCCTTATTTCAGAGAGCTAAAGTATCGCGTATATAGAGTAACGGCCAATCCGGATCGGATCCGGACTAGAAACTAACGGGTGAGGACTGTCCGAAGACAGAGGCGGATATGTAGACTATAGGAATCTATCCTAAGTCTCGGAGTAGACAAGAGTAGCGTACTCAAGTCCGGATGGATAACGGAGGGACTCAGAGTCCAGACGGAATGAGTGCAATCTAAGATGATATTCGAACTGATCTACTACAGCGCATATACAAAGGTTTATATACTACGGATAGCTAACGGAATGATCAATAAGCAAAGTCTAAGTGGAGCGTATTGGTAAGTTGGATGGATCACGAATCATGAACCGGGAATGAAGTACAAGTAAAAGCGGATTCGTAAGTGTAGCGGATCAGTAAGCAAAGCGGAAGTAAAGGATAACCGGTATACCGGTGTACAGGAATACCGAAAGGAGATGAACGATAGTTAGAGTTATATGAACAGGAAATGAAATAAGAATCAAAGCGGATCTGTGGACCGGACGACGGATATGTTCATCGGATCTGGATCGGATCTGAGATCCAGATCATCGGATCTGTAACCGGATATATGGTATATGACAGTATCCCCCCCTTAGGGCCGATCCCTAGAGGCACAAGAATCAGCGATCCGGAACGGATGGTATGAGTGCGAGACAATGGAGAAGCTGATGGGAGAAGTTGCTGAGTTCGGATTCTGACAGATATACGGATGCCAAAGCGTCGCAGGGTGTTCCTTCCTTTCCCTACTTTTTCACTACCACTAGCTTATCTCAACCATGACTGATAACGGATCCGGCTCTAAGAAGACCGCTAAGCAGACTCTGGCGGATATCCAGGCCGCGCTGGCTGCTGCTGAGGCCGAGGTTCAGAAGGAGGAAGAGGCTGAAAAGCTGAAGCAACAAGCGGAAGAGGCGGAACGGAAGCGCTTGGCAGGGATTAAGAAGATTGAACGGGCTGAGGCCCGAAGGGAAGCGGAGGAGGCTAGGCGCAGGGCTATAGTGGCGGAAATGGTGAGTTATGACTTGTTCTATCGGATCCGTCCCTTATCGGATCCGTAGTCTCGCGCCATCTCAGCGGATAAGGATGGGGCTTGTACCCGCTGCGCTAAGAAGGGTCGGGCCTGTCTGTGGTCCGATGCGGATAGCAATTCCTTGGTAAGTCATCCTTGAATCTTCGGATCCGTGACTCTTAACATTCGGATAGATCAAGGCTTGTAACGCGTGCCGGAAGGACAAGGCTCCTTGTCCCGGACGACCTGGAACCGTTACGGATTCCAAGTCTAAGAAGAGGCAGCGCGCTGCTGAGAACCCATCTCCGAGAGGCAAGGGTAAGAAGCGCCAGCAGAGTCCAACTCCGGATCCGGATATGAAGACGGTAGTAGCGGATGAGGTGGAAGTGGAGTATGATGATCAGGCCTGGGTCGCGGCCGCTAATAGCATTGTAGCGGAACTGGCTCGGACCAACGGATTGCTCCAGCAGAGCATCGGAGCGGCGGAAGGGAGTAGGACTGCTATAGAGCGGATGAATACTAACTTGGAGGCGTTTTTGGAGCAGCAGAGGGAGTTCCAGACCATCCTTCTTGAGGGGATCCGGAATGGAATCCGGATTACAGAGGCGGCTCGTTCTGAGGCCACTGACAAGGACGTTGAAGAATCCGGATCCGGATCCGGATCGGGTGGGGACATGGAGATGGATGGCTGAGGATTTTCGGATCTGCCTTCTCTGCTACTAATGTACTTGTATATCCGCTTTGTATATTCATTGTATAGCAATAGGACCGGGTTTGTCTGGATATGCAGTGTGGAAATCCGAGACTAGATCGGACGCGTTTCCGAGTTCCGTGGCTAGTAGCCATGAAGTCTCTTCGTCTGTTCCTTCGTATCCGGACCATCGGACGAGGTATAAGAGTTGGCATTGTCTTCTACGACGGTCCAGCTTAGAGTCTAGGATTTCGGATATCTCATATTCTGGTTCTCCGTCGACTTCGACCGGAGGTGGAGGAGGCTGGATCCGATTGGGAATTGTGTTCGGAACGGATGGTTCTAGCTGTGAGACGTGGAAGACGGGGTGGACGGATTTCATGGATTCGGGAAGTCGGATGGTAAAGGAATGGGTACCCGGACGGGATATGACTTCAAACGGACCTAGATTCTTTTCCGAGAGTTTCTTAGACGGACGAGTGGACCGGAAGTACTTAGCCTTGACAAAGACTTGGTCTCCGATATTGATATCCTGGAGCAGGTTTCCGTTTAGCGTCCGCAGGTCCTTGATATCTTTCTTGGGCGTGAGCCATTTCTTCTCTAAGGAATTGGTGAAGGTCGTCGAGGTCTATAGCATAGTCGCGAGCGCGGATGGAGGATAGATCGCGTTCCGGATGGACGGATATGTTCGGATGATAACCCTTATTAGCAAAGAAAGGCGATACTCCGGTAGTAGCACTTGGAGCGTTATTGTAGGCAAATTCTGCTAAGGGAAGTAGTTCCGACCAGTTGTCCTGTTGATAATTGCAATATATCCGAAGGTATTGTTCCAGGGTTTGGTTGGCACGCTCGGTTTGTCCATCCCCTTCCGGATGATATCCGGATGTGAAGTGGAGGACCATATCCAATGCTTTTCCTAAGGATCGGAAGAAGTGGGATACAAACTCTGTACCGCGATCCGAGGTGACATGGGACGGAACTCCGTGCTTGGAAAACACATGAAGTAGGAATAGACGAGCGAGATCCGGAGAGGTAATGGTATCGTGAGTCGGAACAAATATTGCTTGTTTGGATAAACGATCTATGATAACGAGGATGGCTGTAAAGCCTGATGAGTCCGGAAGTTGCTCTATGAAATCCATGGATATGGAATTCCAAGGCTTTTCCGGTATGGGTAGTTGCTTGAGCAATCCGTAGGGTTTATGTCTCGGAACCTTGGCTCGGGCGCAGGTAGTGCAGGACCGGACGTAGTCCTTAACATAGGTGCGTATACCCGGCCATGTATACTCGCGTCGGATGAGGTCTAGGGTTCGGTTTTGACCAAAATGTCCGGATAAGGGGTGATCATGAGTATTACGGAGGACGCGAAGTCGAAGGTTATCGGATTCTGGGACATATATACGGTTGTCGCAACGGAGGAAACCCCTATCGTCCACTGTCCATCTCGGATCTGAAGGTACCGGAAGATGGTTGGTTGCAATAGGGTCATTAGGAAGTGCGGTCAGGATGTCTTTCCGAAGGTCATCAATATCCATTAGAACAGCTGCTCTAAGAACCGGAGTTGCTAAGGTTGAGGCTCGTAGGGACGAAGCTAACTGTTCGGACGTGAATACCGGACGGAAGTTATGAGGGTTAACTCGAGCGTAGTCCTTATCCCCCTCTTTGGGATAGACGTCCCAGCGTCTAGTAAGGGAATCCGGTTTAACTCCGAGTTTTCCGGGACGGAAGCGGATGACAAGATTGAACTGATGGAGGAATTCCGACCAGCGGGCCTGACGGCGAGA